TTTAGAAGTTAAATCACATTATGTGACAATTCAGTATGTTATTATTTGTGAGTATATATTATTAGTAAATTGTCATATAATGTGATTAAACTTTTATGTAATAAGTAAATTATCTTGCCCATCTCTATTTCAGATAACTTTTTTGGCTTTCTGCCTCGCAAGGTTTAGGTTTTTTATCTGTTCTAGATTTGCTCAGTAGATTTCATTATAATTAAATATTCTTTGAGCTATATTATTTTAATCTTTTATAAAGATCTTTTAGCATGGCTCTTTCTTATTGCTTGGTTAATTTTCAGCTCTTGGTTCTAGCTAATTTCCTTATAGGCCTGTTCTAGTTTTCTTTTTTTCAAATTAAAACTGAGACTTGTATTATTTAAGTACTTGCAGGTTTACAACAGTTATAAAACCTAAATAATTATTTAAAATTACTATAAGGTGAACTGGTAGTGAACTATTTTTAAAATATATAAAATAACTATTTTTTCTTTTATCATTTGTTCATTACCTGTTTGCTAATATTTGTAGTAATAATCATATGCCACTAATTTAAACTTTAAAAACAATACCTACATAAATATATGAATAATCTATATTAAGATTACTGTATGCAGTATTGTTCAGTATAGATGTAGATATTTGAAGATGTATTGTTATATTATTATATCAACGTGTTATAACGATATAAGCTGACATTTTTATAAATTAATTATAGTAATATAAAAAGTTATAACAATAAAATATAGTTATATTAATATAAAAAATTGTGTCAAACTTCTTTTAATATAATAGTAATAAATAGTGTATCTGATTATAAATAAAAGTTATTTTTTTTTCTTTTTGAATAAGTTGATTTCGTGTATGAAATGTCTTTAAATAATTGTGTTAGCAAATCTAATTCATGTATTGATAATATTGATGATGACACTTATATATTATTAGAATCTGATTGACCACAAAAAAAAGCAATGAAAGGAGATTCTAGATTTCATGAAGAAATATCTTCAAATAATTGTATTGGCGAATCTAATTCATATATTGATAATATTGATGATAATACTTGTACACTATTAGAATTTAATCAACTACAAAAAAAAGCAAGAAAAGGAGATCCTAGATTTAATAAAGTATAGAACTATTTTAAAAAAGGAACGCAAGTAAACTCAGAACACTATGAGGCCATATGCTCATATTGTAATCAACACTGGCCAAGAGGTAAACCATGTAATTTAAAAGCCTATCTTGTGATTCATTGCTTAAAAGTACCTGAAGATATTCAAAAATATTGGTATAATAAACTTGTAGAAGAAAATAATACATATTCAAGAAATTCATAATTAAATTCACCATTATCTATACAAGTTAATAATTATTATGATGAGCTTCTCTTAAAGGCCTAGATAATAGCCAATATCTCATTTGAAGTAGTTAAAAATCTATTTATCAAAAATCTATTTAAAGCTCATAATTCTTCTTATGCATTACCATCATATACAATATTATCTGAACAGTTATTAGATAAAGAATTTGCACATATACAAAATACTATTAATAATGAGTTAGAGAATGCAGAGCATCTAACTTTAAGTAAGACTTGATTTTATTATCATTCAGAATTGTTTCTCAGTCAGGCCAAAAATTATTATACTTTGCAAAAAGATTTTATCAATTTCGAATATCTTAAAAATTAAATTTATCTGATCAATTACTTAAATATTTTTATTATTTTAAAAAAATCCTCATATATTAGGTTTGTTATTTATATAATGATAATACTTTTTAACCTTATATATTATTTAATAATCAAACATAATTTTGATCATATTAATTGCATTAATAAATATAGTAAATACAGATATTTTATATACAGATATTTTATATATAGATAAATAGGAATAAAAAAATAATAATGATAGCTACATAAATGAGAATTGATTCTAAATATATTCAAATATATTTGAAAATTTTTATATATTTAATAATAAATCCTTTTTTTTTTATTATAGCTCTTGATGGCTAGACTTCGAAACATAGAGATTCTATCTTTAATTATATTGTAACAACTATAGAGCGAAAAGAATATTTAATTGCATTAAAAAATTATTCTTTAGAATCTCATACTGGTAATTTTTTAGCATCTGAAATTTCAAATATTATTGAGCAAATTGGATCTAAAAAATTTGCAGCAGTTGTTACAGATTCAGCTTGTAATTACAAACTTGCGAAAGAAAAAATTCAACAGAAATATCCACATATATTAAATATTCGTTGTATTACTCATGCTATTAATTTAATAGCTATAGATTTAACTAAAATTGCGGAAATAAAGGCATTTATCAATCAATGTGGAAAATTAATAAAATTTTTTACTAAATCTTCTCAAAAATTGGCATTATTACAACAAGGGCTAACAAGTATGAAAATTAAGTCTGAAGGCCTAGAATCATGGTGTCTAACTCGTTAGGGATCATTATATAGTACTACAAACTTTATATTAGTTACTCATCTGGTATTTGACTAGGTGTGTACTCTTTTTTTAAAAAAATATATATATATAGTTACACCTCTCTAAGGTATAGTTTTTATTTTTTTTTCTATAATTCTAAGAGAATGTACTAAGAAGGTATAACTATATATATAAATAGCTACAGTATATAATACTAATTAAGATTTTATACATGAATAGTTGTTACTTGAGTATCCAAATATGTTTTCAGATACTGAAATTTTTAATTTGTTACATGATAATAACTTTTTTATTACCTGCTGCCAAATTCAATCAATTTGGAAACCAATTAAAGCTTGTATAAATTCTTTAGAAGGTAGTTCTGCATCTTTAGCAGACTGTTATATTTATATGATCAAGTTAGCAATTGCAATCTATCAAATTTCTGAATTAATTTCATTTAAGCCTGTTATGATTCAACTATTCAACTGATGATATAAAGAATTCCAGCATTCATGTTATTTGCTATGTTACTACCTTCATCTATTATATCATAGTATAAAAATTAATTTCATTTTTATTAGATTTAGCTAATTACTAAGTTGTCTAATTTTTTTTTAATTATTATTAGGAAAAGGGCTTAAGAATGAAGCATTTCATAATGCTGCTATAACTGCTTCAACTATATGGAAAAATTCTTCGCATTCTGAGCAAGAATGCAAAGAATTAATATCCCAGTTTCGTTATTATGAAGCTAAAAAAAAACCATTCAATTTACCTTATGTTCAAAGCCTTGATACTCCAATGTTATAGTGAGGATCTTTAAAAAGCCAACCATGCCATCTTTCAGAACTTGCACAAAAACTTTTTAGTATTACACTATCTCAAGCCAACTGTGAAAGGAACTTCTCAATTCTCAAATAGTTTATAGGAGATAAACAGATACGTCTTGATGTTAAAAAGCTTGAAGAAATAGCAAAAATTAGATCATACTATATGACAAATATACGGGAAGAACTAAACTGTCTTGATGCTGAATTGACTGAATCTGAGTGGCATGAAATGGTAAATCTTACATCAATTAATAGCTTTATCGAATATGAGGCAGATGAAGAAAATGAAAGTGAAAATAATAATATATATGAAGGCAATTTGTTATCTCGAGCTAATTTGATTTTAGAAGAAACTGTAAATTTAAAAGATCCAATCTTCCAGGAAGGAGATATCATGCCATATGAAATTTCAACTAATACCTCAAGTGATACAAATGATAATAATAACGAAAGCAGCAATATGGATTTTAATCCTGAAAATCTTGTTGATGCCATCTTAAATAAGGTACTATTTTTTGTTAATTTTAGAGTATTTGAACTGTAATTTCTAATAAATTCAGTTCTAAATAATCAGCAGATATAAAGAATCGCTTGTAGACTTGACTAAGTCATTGGAAATTGAACTGAATAATATTCTCTTGACAAAATGTAGGCTACTATAATATGAAAAATTAGTTTAATATATTTCAAATAATTGTGCAATATGCACCACGCGGAATATTATTGACGGAGGGGCAAACATTATATTAGCTTAATTTTTCAAAAACTTTAGAGGCTATTGCCAATAACTATACCAAATTTTATAAAGTAATTAAAGCCGGGAATGAATAAATAATTTTTTTCATGATTGCTTTTGCAATTCTTATATCAATATTATAACAATTAGCTAAGTTTGTTTATTAACAATATGAATTATATGGATTGTGTAAACTTTGATAATGTTTTATAAATTCAGTAGTTTCAGCTACAATAAATTTACTCTGAAAATTTTCTTTATAATTTTCGTGATTTTGTGTTGTAAATGCCATGACACATATCAAATATTATATTTACATCAAAATGTTACAGCACACGTTAAATGTTATGACATAAGTCAAAAGTTACGACACAAGTCAAAAGTTACGACACAAGTCAAAATGTTACGGCACAAGTCAAAAATTACAACACAGGTCAAATGTTATGGCATAAGTCAAAAATTACGGTATGAGTAAATGATACGGCACATGTTAGGGGTTACGGCAAATATTAGTTACAGCTTTTTGACGTATCGTCACGTCTTTGAGTTACGTCCAATTGACGTTAAGATCAGTTACGGCACTAACATAAGTCTGCATCTATACTTATATACAAACATATTAGAAAATTAATTTAAAATATAAAGTTTATTCATAAATTTTTCTAAATAAAGTTAAAACATATTTACTAAATTTTTAAAAAAAATATATAATAGTATAACTTCAAAGTTATCTTTAATAAAGTTAAGAAAGTAATAACTATTATTTATATAATTCTAGTAAAAGAAAATATCTAAATCCTGAAAAGGTTTTTATACTAATAGTAGAAGATAAGAACTCATAGAGATATGAAAAGCCTTGGAATACATATGAAGAAGAAATCACTATCAGCTATAAGAAGCAACTCAGATTCTATAATGAGTTGCTTAAACAACTAGCTGCAGAGTCTGGTCAGAAATTTAACCCGAGCAGAACAAAATAAGTTTAGTTACTATAACAATCTGATTAGTTCAACTGAAATACTAATTTACGAAACTTTATAATCAAAATTTCAATATTATAATAGTAATTGCATCTTGTAAATACGATATATGTTATGGTCTCAGAATACATAACCTCAATTAGTGTTGCATATTTTGGTATATTTGGCATGTTCAACATTCAAGTATCCAAGGTGTCCAAGCTGGCGTCCATAGCCTTAAATATATTAATAATTAAAATAAAAATTTATATTTTTACTTAGTAAGTTTAAATAGGTTATAATGTATTAATAAAATTTCGAGTAAATTCCGTTTATTTTTTTGTCTAAAATTTCCAAGATGTCCAAAGTAGTGATACAAATCGAAGGTCGATGAATCGATTAGTTTGTCTAATTGGCAACTAATCAAATGAAAATTCTTAATCATCGATTGAAAAATTTTGCCAACTCATATCAAAAATACTAATTGAAAATCGATTAATCGTTTAGTTTGACAATTAATCGATTAAAAATTTTTGAATCAATCAATTAATCGATTGAAAAAATTTTGTAAATTTGTATCATTAGTCCAAAATTTGTCCAACAACAACACTGACGAGATTTGGCCAAGGTTCGTTCTGAAATTATAAAATACGCGTATAAAAACTTCAATTTTTGAAGAATTCTACAAACTCGATTTATTTGCTTATTGATCGCCATAATACAAACTTCGTGTGGTTTTCCGGGAGCTCATATGTTATAACTTGGCCATTTCTCCATTCACAAAAGTCGTGTATAGTGATGGGCAAAATAGAAAATTTTTCGAATCACGCGCGTGATTCACTATAGCGCGTGTTCCCGCGTTTTGTCCATCACTAGCCGTGTACGTTAAATGTATCACCACGGCGTTCGTATTACTCTAATGACACACCTTCAACAAGAGTATAAGGGAGCTTTGATATAATTAAAATTATTCGCCATGAGCTCATAAAGACTCTAAGTGATTTATTTGCTCTTTAAATCTGATTTTTGTTTTCTTTCATATTTTTACGTGTATTATATGAATTCTCATAAGGCTAATTAGCATAAAGAATATCTAGTCAATATCAAAATAGACTTGTAACTTTTTCCCATTTTGCTCGTTGGTGTATGTTGCCCTCCTCCCACTATAATTGACATAGTTTTATTAATTTATCAACAAGCTTATGAGCAACACAAGTACTGTCGTTACGAAGAAATGTCCCTAGTTAACCAAAATTAGAAGAAAGTACCAGTTGAAATATCTATTAACCTTTGACCCTATTAAAAAAATGTATTGGATCGGCACGGGTTTGGTGGCACGGGTCAAGAACCGTATTTGCACGTTCATGAGCGAATTTGGTACGGAATTTATGGAAAATATTGGACCGATATCCGCTCAGGTTTTGCAGCAGTTTACTAGTTGAATCGGCACGGGATTTGGTACGGAAATTCTCACGAATCTTTCTCGTGCTTTTACGCGCCATCTAAGGAGCAGTTATCATTTCGTGCCATTCAGAACAACTTACGTGACATTTCATTATATAAAACATACCTATACGTTCCATTCCGCACATCGACACCGACCAGTGCCACATACCGTACCACTTTTTTCATAGGATGAGTCGAGGTAGCGGCACTCTCTATGATAAAATATGTTATCATTATTCTGGCCTCAAGGGATTTGAAGCGAAGTTAGAAACACACACCTCTTGACGCTGATAAGTTAATGCTCGGCATCGGGTTAGAGTCGTAATCGTAATACAAGGTTGTCATTTTACAACATCGGTTGAGTATATGAGGAAAGAATTTATGGTTTTGAAAGATGTTACAGATTACGTATTCTAACACTTTCAACAATATTCTCACTGTTCTCTCATAGAATACAATAAAATTTCTGAGAACATTTCATCTCAAAAAAAAAAAAAAAAAAAGTTCTTTTATTTGAAAACAATTTGATCAAAATTTATGTTCTCTAATTAATAATTATTGCTACATATTAAAATCAAAATTTTACTAAGCAAATCAAATTGTTCGTGAAAATAAATTATATATTATATAGTACAAATTGGATAATATTTTATTAATTCTTAATTCACTTTTACAATTTATATTTCTGTACCAAAAATTAAATTGAAATATAAAATATAAAAGTGAATTAATCAATAATTATCCAATTTGTACTACAAAGTAACTTTTGATATAAGAAAGTTGTCGTGTCCAGTTAAGATCTTCCTTATATTGAGATTTTCTTATATCAAAAACTTTTTTGTTATAAAATTTTCTATCAGGACTTGTAAAAACTCTTTCTTATATCAAGAGTTTCTTATAAAAGGTTTCTTATATCGAGAGTCACTTATATATATAATTTGTTCTTATATAAAGTTGATTTGCTTAGTAAAAATTTTAACTTTAATATGTATAGTAGCTACAATTATTATTATCGTTATTCGTTATATAATTGTTAAATTTTGTACACTGGCTAGTACACATGACAATATCGGGAAGTGAAATTTCCGTTTATACATGCAATCTTGATAATGACCAGGGTATAATTAATAAGTTTATCATAACGGACTAACATTATATTGATTATGAACTAATTTGGTAAAATTAATAGATAGAATTTACTTTTATTAATTACGATCAAAAAATTAAATGTAATCATAAACATACTTTTAATAATAACTCTATGATAATAAAAACTGATATTAACAAGTCTCACTCTATAAAAAAAAAATATATATATAATACGATGGCTTTTTTTTTTTTTTTTTTTACAATAAAAAATAATAATACTTTCAAGTCTCAATCTAAAAAAAAATAAAATAAATAAAAAAATATATAATACGATGGCTAATAACGAATAATAATACTTGATATTAAATAAATTTACCACCTCGTTAAACCTCAACTTTCCTTTTCGACATCTTGTAAATTTACCCTACCCCTCAACTTTCCTTTTCGTCTCTTACGAATTGTTTTGTTTCTAACTTGTGAAAATTTCTCTTTCCAATTATTATTCAAAGAATTTAATGATGGAACACTTTCAACAACCCAACGACATTGTCCATATTCAAATACACTTGTATTGGATTTCTCCGATCCAGTATCATCATTAAATTCATTATTATTATTATTAATTAATGAATTTGAATCATGTGATGTAGCTTGCTCATTCTGATTTTCATTGAAAGAAATTTTAGTTTCGATAGTATCCATATTTTCATTCTGATCTTTATTATTGCATGAATCTATGACCATATCAGTATTAATAGAATTCATACTTTCAACAACCGATGATTGGATACTAATGGGAACTTTATCATTCAACGATACATCAGATTGTTTCTCAGTGACGTGTTTAATAATATTACATGATAAAGTATTCGTTTCCGTATCAGGGTTTGAAGATATAAATTTCAAATTCTGAGAATCATTATTAGAGAGCACTGGTGATGGTGATGACGAGGATGATGATGATGATGCTATAGAAGCAGTTGATGAAGTATTCTCCTTGGTGTAAAAAAGGATATACGGTTTATCTCTAAGAGTAGTTTCTAAAACAACCTATAGTAAAAAATCGGTAAATTATTAAATTAAATTAAATCAACTAAATAATAAAATAAAAAAAAATAAAAAAAGTACGATAAATTTATATTATATATAACTAATATTTGCATACATTTGATGTCATGTTATCATTAAATTTAACCCAACCAGAAGCAGTTTTGGCATAAGCGTAGTAATGTCCACTTCGAGGAGTATTTCCAACATGAACAATTGATGCAGAAAGTTTATATCGTGCATCTTCTTCTGGATGTTCACAAAATTCAGACATATCCAAAGTTTCGTTATAACTCATATAAGAATTAATTTTAACAGAACGTTGTAAATATCGATCATATCGGAAACGTTTAACTTGTATTATTAAAATTTCAGGTAAATGAGTTAGATTACATTTTTGTGTGCAAGTATTCTTACTACACCTAAACATGAAATAAATAATAATAAATATATATTAGATTTATTAATATTTTATTTATAATACTTTGAAATTTTTAAAGAAAAATAAACATAAGATTACTTGTCACATTTGTAATCATTGAGTGGTACGTGTCTTATTATTATA